ACCCTTATAAAAAGTAGAAATTCGGCCATATTAGGTTAGATTTGTTTTGGAGAGTTCTTGGGCAAGAAACACAAGTGTGAGAGATCACCCAAAAACATCATAGTTCTTTATTTCTTCTTTTTCTTGCAATTTTCCATGATGAATATTTTCATAGATTATCTTTACGTTGTTATGAGTAGCTAAAACCCATTATTCTGGGGTCATGGGTGAAACATGAAAGTTGTTGTTTGACGTTTAATTCGACGAAGTTGGTTTGTCATATTGGATTGTTTATTTAATTCTGCTTTTAATTATTTTGCTGAGTAGCTAACAGTGAAATACTATCTACGAATCTAGAGTTGAACTCGAAAGTGGGAATTCTAGATTGCATATAGAATTAAATAGAGCAGGTTTTTGAACCCGGGCCTCGGGGAACGATTCGCAATTGGGATAGACATATACCCAATTGCCTTGCTTGGTTAAAATACAGGAAGGCATTGTAAATGCGTTCTNTCGGGGAACGAATTCGCAATTGGGATAGACATATACCCAATTGCCCTGCTTGGTTGGAATACTGGAATTGTAAATGCGTTCTTGTTAATCTTAATTCCATAGACATATAGGCATTGAGTTAGCTTGAATAGGCGAGTAAGAACTCGACAGATTCTTATGAGTAATATAAACCCTGTCAATCAACAATCTAGATAAATCAATTAGCCGTTTTAAGCCAAGAACACAACACGATTGTTAACTAGCCCGTGACCCTGGAATATCTTCTCCTATTGTTTGTTAATTGAACTTGCTATTCGTTTAGTTAATTGCTCTAGTTAGATTATTTCTTGATAGTTAGGTAGTACAACAATTACATCTCGATTTTGTGAAAAACATCCTGGATAGATAAAGTAATTGGGTTTGAATCAGTCAACAGTTAATCATAAGTCTTCGTGGGAACGATACTCTACTCACTACTCTATTACTTGACGATCACGTGCACTTGTGTGAGTGTTTTGGTCGCAACAAACTCCTTCCGAGATAGAAACAGAAAATTCTCAAAGTCCACCTAGCTGCAGTAACTTTCAGATTCGTGTGGTTCCGGCGAAAAAAATCATATTTTGAGCTAGGGGCCTCCAAATTGCAAGCGTTTTGTGTTCTTACAAACTAGACATCCAAATCTACAACATACAAAATATTAGAAGCAAAACGTCTTCAGGATGGACTGCAGTAGTTTTCCAAAGTTGATCCTGTCGTCTGTCGAGCTTTCTTTCCAGCTCTATATGCTCTCTGAGTTGTCCTACAAATGTTTTTTTTTCTTCTTGAAATTGACTCTACAGTCTTGCATGTAGTAGCTTTGGCTATATACGTCACAAATCTTATCTCTTCATTTATTTCTTTTGTAGACTTGCAAAAAAGCTCAAAGAGTCCGGATATCAGACCGAGGTGTCATACAAGATGTGGAGCCACCCCTTCACCAACTATTGCACTTTATTTATTGATAGTCTTGAAGTTCATCAATGGCGACTCCCATGGTGATTGGGACCTTCAACCAACAATTGAGGATGGCATCAAATGAGGAGACGTCATACAGACTTGGAAAAGTATTTAGACGCATCAGCAACAAAGCCTAGTTTACGATCATCTTCATGATTTAAGTTTTTGTATAGAAAGATGTCTAGTTCCTGTTGTCTCTACGTTTTTGGATGTATCAACTTTTGTACTATTGAAGCAATAAAACATTTTTTATACTTCAACGCAAATCGTCTCCTTTTCCTCATAGATATGTGCCTCTACACTTGGAAGAATTAATGTAATGATCCGATGATGCCAGCCTTTTATTTTTTTAAAACTCATGCGATTGAACTTAGAATGGAAGTCTAAGTTGCCTACGTACCTCGGTGAAGAGGATCAAGTCATAACATAGTTCAGAGGGATGAACTTTTTTTTTTATGTCCTAATTTTTGCCTAGGCCGCCTCTCGCGAGGTTTTCAACCTAGCAGACTTTTGTTTTTGGTCTTGACTTTTGCCTAGGCCGCCTCTTTCGAGGTTTTCCACCTAGCAGCCTCTTTTTTTCGGCCGTACACAGTTTAGACTCATGCGGGCCAGGAGTGTAGCAATGTGCAGTTTAAGCTCATGCATCAAGGAGCGTCATGACTTGTAGTTTAGGCTCGTACATCGAGGAGCATAGGTGACTTTCATGGGAAGTACTGCTTCAAAATTTTTCCGTTGATCGGACCAACTCTGAGACCATCCTTATCTATAATTTTGTATGCGCCACTTGAATATGCTTCCTTCGCAACATATGGCCCATCCCATTTTGAGGTAAACTTGTCGCCTATGCGTTTGTTGAGGATTATGGGTCGTAGTACAGCTAGGACTAAGTCTCCCACTTGGAATGATCGTGGCCGCACTTTCTTGTTGAAGGCTCTAGCTAGTTGAGCTTGATAGCACTCCAATTTTTGTTGCGCTTCCAATCTTTTCTCATCCAGGGCCTCTAACTCTGCTAGGCGAAGTTGAGCATTCTCTTCGGATGTGAGCCCTTCTTGGATTGCTATCCGCAATGATGGAATTTGTTGCTCCAACGGCAGGATGACTTCTACGCCATATACCAAAGAGTAAGGAGTTGCTTGTGTAGTAGTTTTGAAGGTTGTTCGGTATGCCCACAAAGCTTCACCAATTCTCTCATGCCAGTCTCTCTTGTTCTTTGCAACAAATTTCTTCAAAAGGTTACCAAGCATCTTGTTAAAAGCTTCAGCAAGGCCGTTGGCAGGTGCATTATACATTGAAGACTTATGTTGCTTGAAACCGAACTTCTCGCATAGACTCTTCACGAGCTTGTTGTCAAATGGCGTTCCATTATCAGTGATTATGTATCTTGGTATGCCATACCTAAAAATTATATATGACTTGATAAAATCGACAACAGTTTCCTTTTTCACCTCCTTGAGTGGAACAGCTTCAGCCCATCTAGAAAAGTAGTCTGTAGCGGCTAATATGTACATTTGTCCCTTTGATGACTTTGGAAGTGGTCCAACAACATCAAGTCCCCATGCATCAAAAGGCCATGAAGCTACAGTTGGGTGAAGAGGCTCTGGAGGTTGGTGGATGTAGTTTGCATGAAATTGACACGCTTGACATCTTTTGGCATGATCCATGCAATCCTTCACCATCGTCGCCCAGTAGTAGCCCATCCTCTTGATGCGAAAATGGAGCTTGGACCAGATTGGTGTGCTCCACATGAGCCAGAATGTGCTTCCTCCATCGCTTGGCGGGTTTCTTCTTTGTCAAGACATCGCAAAAATAGTCCTTCAAAAGAGCGGCGAAACAATGTCCCCTTATAGAAGATGAATCGTGGTGCTCTTCGTTTGATGTCTGTTCTTTGTCGCGGATCTTCAGGTAACTTTCCATGTTCAAGGTACTCTATCAGTGGTTGCCTCCAATCTTTTTCTTCAATCACTCGAACAGACGTATGATGGCTTTCGTTGACTTGAAGATCCAGAAGTCTAGGAATAACCCATCGATGACACACATATACCTTTGTTGACTCATTCTCTCCAAGTGCCATCGTCGTGGCCAAGTTAGCCAAAGCATCAGCCTTGCGATTTTCTTCTCTTGGGACATGGTTTAAGAATAGTCGGTCGAATTTTTCAAGTAAACCAGAAGCGTATTCATGGTAGGACAATAGATCTTCCTTCTTTACCTCGTAATTCCCCAAAAGTTGGTTGATGATCAGCTTGGAGTCGCCGTAGATCTCCAACATTAGAATCTTCATTTCTAATGCCATTTCGAGACCGACGATCAGGGCTTGGTACTCTGCAGCATTGTTGGAGCATGTTTCACCTAAAACAAAGGAGAATGGCAGGACTTGTCTTTCTGGAGAGATCAACACAACACCTGCCCCCGCACAATTACGACGTGCAGATCCATCAAAGAACAATGTCCATGGTGGCAATTCTTCGATAAACAAAACGTCTTCATCTGGAAACTCATCCGAAAGCTCCCATTCTGCCGGAAGAGGGTGATCAGCCAGAAAATTGGCTAGTGCTTGTCCTTTCACAGCTTTTTGAGGTGTGTATGTGATCTCATATTGGTTAAACAATATGGACCATCTTGCTAGGCGTCCAGAAAGAACAGGTCGAGTCATCACAAACTTCACGGGATCTGCTCGAGAGATGAGTTTGANCATTCTCTTCGGATGTGAGCCCTTCTTGGATTGCTATCCGCAATGATGGAATTTGTTGCTCCAACGGCAGGATGACTTCTACGCCATATACCAAAGAGTAAGGAGTTGCTTGTGTAGTAGTTTTGAAGGTTGTTCGGTATGCCCACAAAGCTTCACCAATTCTCTCATGCCAGTCTCTCTTGTTCTTTGCAACAAATTTCTTCAAAAGGTTACCAAGCATCTTGTTAAAAGCTTCAGCAAGGCCGTTGGCAGGTGCATTATACATTGAAGACTTATGTTGCTTGAAACCGAACTTCTCGCATAGACTCTTCACGAGCTTGTTGTCAAATGGCGTTCCATTATCAGTGATTATGTATCTTGGTATGCCATACCTAAAAATTATATATGACTTGATAAAATCGACAACAGTTTCCTTTTTCACCTCCTTGAGTGGAACAGCTTCAGCCCATCTAGAAAAGTAGTCTGTAGCGGCTAATATGTACATTTGTCCCTTTGATGACTTTGGAAGCGATCCAACAACGTCAAGTCCCCATACATCAAAAGGCCATGAAGCTACAGTTGGATGAAGAGGCTCTGGAGCTTGATGGATGTAGTTGGCATGAAATTGACATGCTTGACATCTTTTGGCATGCTCAATGCAATCCTTCACCATTGTCGTCTAGTAGTAGCCCATCCTCTTGATGCGAAAATGGAGCTTTGGATCAGATTGATGTGCTCCACATGAGCTAGAGTGTGCTTCCTCCATCGCTTGGCGGGCTTCTTTTTTGTCAAGACATCGCAAGAATATTCCTTCAAAGGAGCGACGAAACGATGTCCCCTTATAGTAGATGAATCGTTGTGCTCTTCATTTGATGTCTGTTCTTTGTCGCAGATCCTCAGGTAACTTTCCATGTTCAAGGTACTCTATCAGTAGTTTCCTCCAATCTTCCTCATCAATCACCAACAGACGTATGATGGCTTTCGTTGATTTGAAGATTAAGAAGTCTAGGAATAACTCATCGATGACACACGTATACCTTTGTTGACTCATTCTCTCCAAGTGCCATGGTCGTGGCTAAGTTAGCCAAAGCATCTGCCCTGCGATTCGCTTCTCTTGGGATATGGTTTAAGAAAACTTGGTCGAATCTTTCAAGTAAACCAGAAGCATATTGATGGTATGGCAAGAGATCTTCCTTCTTTATCTCGTAACTTCCCAAAAGTTGGTTGATAATCAGCTTAGGGTCGCCATAGATCTCCAACTGTGGAATCTTTATGTCTAATGCCATTTCGAGACCAACGATCAAAGCTTGGTACTCTGCGGCATTGTTGGAGCATGTTTCACCAACAAAGGAGAATGTCAAGACTTGTCTTTCTGGAGAGATCAACACAACACCTGCCCCCGCACCGTTACAACGTGCAGATCCATCAAAGAACATTGTCCATGGTGGTAGTTCAACAATGAACAAAACATCTTCATCTGGAAACTCATCAGATAGCTCCCATTCCGCCGGAAGAGGGTGATCAGCTAGAAAATTAGCTAGTGCTTGTCCTTTCACAGCCTTTTGAGGTGTGTATGTGATCTCGTATTGGTTAAACAATATGGACCATCTTGCTAGGCGTCCAGAAAGAATAGTTCGAGCCATCACGAACTTCACGAGATCTGCTCGAGAGATGAGTTTGATGGTGTATGCTTCAAAATAATGCCTTAGCTTCTTTATCGCATAAAGTAATGCAAAGCATATTTTCTCAACAGGCGTATAGTTCAACTCAGCCCCTATCAGAGTTCGACTAAGGTAGTACAAGGCTTTTTCCTTTCCTTCCCATTCTCTTGAGAAAGTAGTGCTCCAAGTGAACGTTCTTGTGCCGCGATGTAGAGTATCAGTGGCTTCCCAAGCATTGGCGCCCCTAACACAGGTGGATTCAGCAAGTATTTTTTGATGCTTTCAAAAGCATTTTGACATGACTGATCCCAATGAAAAGGAATATCCTTCCTCAATAGGTGATTGAAGGGTTGACACCGTCCGGCTAGATTAGAGATGAACTTCCGGATGAATGCTAAGTTTCCTTGGAGACTTCGAAGCTCCCTCAAGTTCTTTGGCTTGGCATTTTCTGGATGGCGTCAATTTTTGCAGGATCAACTTCAATTCCACGGTGAAGCACAATGAAGCCAAGAAACTTTCCTGAGGTAACTCCAAATGCACACTTGAGTGGATTCATCTTCAGGTCGAATTTTCTTAACCTTTCGAAAACAATTCGAAGGTCTTCAAGGTGGTAACGCCTACTCTTCGTTTTCACCACCAAGTCATCGACGTAGCATTCAACCCTCCTATGAAGCATGTCATCAAAGATGTTTTGCATCACACGTTGGTAGGTGGCACCAACATTTTTCAGACCGAAGGGCATCACCTTGTAGCAATATATCCCTTTTGGAGTTCGAAAAGCAGTACACTCTTCATCTCTTGGGGACATTCTGATTTGATTGTATCCGGAGGACCCATCCATGAATGACATAACTTCATGCCCTGTTGTAGCATCGACCATGAGTTCAATAATTAGTAGCGGAAAGTCATCTTTCAGACATGCCTTGTTTAGGTCTCGAAAGTCAACACAAACACGTATTTGACCATTCTTCTTCTTGACAGGTACAATATTCGATATCCATGATGGGTACTTCACCTCTCGAATAAATCCCGCCTCGATAAGCTTGTTGACTTCGACTTCAATTTGTGGTACTAGCTCAGGTCGGAACATGCGTTGTGACTGCTTCACAAGGCGTGTTCCACTTTTGATCCCCAAATGATGAATGGCTACATTAGGACTAAGATCAGGCATTTCTTTATACGACCAAGCGAAGACATCTTTGTACTCAGTCGATAACTTGGAGTATTCCTCCTCCTCTTGAGGCGTAAGAAGCGCACTAATAAAGGTGGGGCGTGGATCTTCCGGAGTGCCTAAATTGAGTTCCTTAAGCTCATCCACCATTGATTGTCCGCCATCTTCTAGTTGAGGGGGAGCCTCGTGTACTTCATCATCAATGTCAAGGCATGGGCTATCTTCCACAGTTATGTGATAGGATGTTTCCATAAAGTCTGACTTTTCTATTTGACTTCCTTGAATAGTCGGCAGGGCTTCTTTCTCTTTCTCTACTTCTTTACGAGCCTGGCAAGTGTAAACAATGGTTCTCCTTTGCACCTTCAGTGGACCATCTGCGGGTATTGACAAAATAGACTTCCTCTTCATACGTGATGGGAAAGCACTACAGATTTCTTTGTCAGCAACAACTTCAAAATGATCCCGCTCCTCATAGACTTGCTCCTTATGTTTTGACAGTATCTTTCAAGACGACGACTTCCTTGTGGTCCCTTGGCGAAAAAAGACAGAGGTCTTTGAGGTAGTGGAAACTTCTTTTAGATGTTTGGATGATACACGTTCACCTTTGTGACTTTGCCTTTCAAACACCGAGACCGAAGGGGTTGAGCCTCCAATGCGATCAAATACTGAAGCCCGTTGTTTTATTTTGTTGCCCTTAACTTCCTTTATCTCCTCTACCGAGGTGTATTGTGATGAAGCTATCTCTTTGCTTCTCTTTGATGAAATTCGTAGAGGCTCTGCCGAACTGAACCCCAACCCAAACTTTGGAGTGGCGACGTAGTGCCCTTGTTTTCTCAACTTCATTTGGGACTCACTGAGCCCATGTATCTTTTCACCAGTGACTTCGTCTTTGAGTTCTCCTAGTTGTGATGGATTGGAGAAGTCATAACCAGACTTTTCAAGCAGTATGAAGGCCTTAGGATCATAGTGCCTTTTTTATCAGCTTGGACATTGCCTTTAGCAGACTCACAAGTCATGGGTGGGATTTGTGCAATTGGGACAGTCATATGCTCCTTCAAATGTTGGATATCTGTGTGAATCATTTGCTTCTTTGGAGTACATTCCTGTAGCAAAGGTTGCCCTTTCTTTCGACGCTCACGTGGAACATAGCAAAAAACCAGATGCTCCTCAGTCTTTATCTGTATGTCAGCTTCAGATGATGATAGCTTATTGGAGACTTCTTCCGTTTCCTTCTTTGGCGGCTTGGTGGCAGTCCATTGAGCCTCATTTTCCTCTTCTGACTTGACATCACCTTTGTCATCTGATGATGGTTTCTCCAATTTTGGTTCACAAGAATCTAGGTAGAATTTTGCATCTGCAAAGTATGACTCCGTCTCAGTGAAAGGCTTGATGTCTGCATCAATTTTGACTATCTCACCATCTCTTCTGTACTTCAGACATTAATGCAAAGTAGATGATACCACCCCATTCTCATGAATCCAAGGACGTCCAAGCAACAAGTTATATGATGTTTTAGAATCTATGACGTGAATCAGGGTGTTTGAATTCATCTTACCAATGGATAATCCTATGCGGATCATACCTATGGCTCGTTCTTGGTTGAAACCTTGGATTGTTAGGTTACTTTTGGATAGCTCATCGATAGAGATCCCAAGCTTTTTTAGAACCATCTTTGGCATGATGTTGACAACCGAACCATCATCAACAAGTATGCGATTGAGATGTTGTTCCTGAATGGACCCTACAACAAACAAAGGTCTGTTATGTGGCTTAGACCCTAGCAGCAAGTCATCATCTGTGAATGAAATTGTTTCACAACATGTGACAACTTTTCCGTCATTATGATGTTCATGTGTTTTCATTGGAGCAAGCTTATCGTTGCTTTCCTTTGTTTCGTCAGTACTAGAAACTACATGAGTTGCACTAACGTGACCTCCATGAAGGAATTTTCCCAGAAAGAATTCATGCAATGTGATGGGCTTTCGGAACTTCGGCGATAAGGCACTGTTAATATTCTTGCTAGTAGAAGATTTGATATTTCTTGGTGATTGTAGCCTATCTGCATTGCTCATCATCGCTCTTGAATTTGGAATTCGTAGCCTCAAAACTGCCTGATGTTTTCGCTTCTTGTGAGTGACTAGAATCCAACCCTCATCGTCTTTGTCTTTGGAGTGATTGTCTAGCTCTAGTGAACCTTCAAGAGTTTTCCTTGGAAGATCAACTTCAATGGGCTCGAAACTTCCAAATTGTAAGAAGGCAGTGCTTGACACGTTATGCAACTTTGAACACTTCTTTTCCTTGAGCGCGATACTTGCATGATTTGCTTCTGCTATTTCATCCATGCCTGTGATGATTTTTCCTTCACTTACAAGAGCCATAATTTTCTCCTTTAAGACGAAGCATTTCTCTGTAGGGTGGCTAATGACGCGATGAAACTTGCAGTATTTCGGATTGCCAACTTTGCCAATTTCCTCTGGCCTTTTTGATTCAGGGAGATCGATGACTTTCTTATCCAGCAGTTCATCAAGGATTGTGGGTACGTCTGAATCTGGAAATGGATAAACCTTCGCCTCTAATTCCTTCAAGGTGGGACGACGCTTCTCCTCTTTAGGATATTGACTCGGGGTCTTATCCTCCTTCACTTTTTGCTTAGTAGTGACCTTCACAGAAGTTGCTTTCACCGCCATTGATTCTTTGGTTTGGTTCTTTGATGAAACATTTTTCTTGAACTCCTTTTGATCAGCAAATGGAGATGCCTTTCCATGACTTGCGATGCTTAACTCCATGTCATGCGCTCGTGTTGCAAGTTCTTCAAAAGTTTGCATTTTGATCCCTCGTAGAATGTATAAAAGGCCCCAGTGCATTCCTTGAATGCACATCTCCACAGCAGATATTTCTGAAAGGCGATCTTTGCAATCCAAACTTAACGCCCTCCAACGATTAATGTAATCCACCACGGGCTCGTCCTTCCTTTGCTTGGTGCCTGTCAACTGTATCATGCTTACAGTTCTTCGGGTAGTGTAAAAATGATTGAGAAATTCCTTCTCAAGTTGCTCCCGCCTATCAATGGACTCGGGCTCCAAGTCAATATACCAGTCAAATGCGTTCCCTTTCAGAGAACGAACAAATTGTTTTACCAATAGGTCACCATGCGTTCCAGCATTGCTACAAGTCTCGACAAAGTGGGCAATATGTTGCCTTGGGTTCCCTTTGCCATCAAATTGATGCTGCTTTGGTGGTTGATAATTGGTTGGCATGGTTAAACGATCAATCCTCTTAGTATAAGGCTTAGAGTAGTACAACGAATTTGCGATAGTCCGCCATATTGAGCTCTGATGGTGTTTGTTATCATGTCTTGTAATTGTTGGACAGATAACGCCGCAACTAAAGTAGATTGCTTTTCCTTTTGAATGTTTAACTTTGCCAATGACTCCTCGAGAGCTATTTTCTAGGAGGTGAAGACAGGTGAACGAGGAGGGACATGGCTCGACTCTCCAGGTGCTTAGGCCTCCAATTTGTTCATGAGTTGAGCGATTTGAAGGTCTTTGTCTTCAACAGATTTCTTCAAGACCTCTATAGTTTGTTCCATCATGGCAAACTTTTCGTCCACGTTAGTTGCGTCAGTCATCAAGGCATTGACTTCCGTTGAAACTGAAGAATTCACCAAATCCTCAAATCCGCCAAGGTTTGAGGTTGTTTGAGCAAGTTCGTCAAACATCGAGAATGGTGTGTTGCCCCCAGAGATTGCGGTTGCGAACGTCATATGAGATCTGCTTTTCTTTGCAATCTCCAAGGAGGCGAAGTATTCGGA